ATCCGGGGTCATGGTGGAGGCTACGGCATGGCGATGTGGTGATGCAATCAAGTTATTTACATTGCGATGTTTATGGAGACAGTGCCTGAGTGGTGTCAGCCCTCAGTGATACCTCTGTCACTGGCTTTCTGTCGTCACCACTGCCACCACCACCATCATCATCATCATCACGCCGTCACCATGACTACCATCATATCCTCCTCACCACTCTACCACCACCACCGTCAGTACCACCATTAGCAACACCATCCTCACCACTTTGCCACCACCATCATGGATTCCACTGGGTGCCAGGGAGGGTACAGGCAGATTCTTGGATTTATTTTCCCTTCTGAAATCTGTGTGGAAACACTTCCTCTCTGTTGTCCACCTCAAACCTGCCCGGTGAGTCCAGGGAAATCAGGAAGTGAAACCGGCCCTGATTGTGTGTCACCTGCCCAGCCCGTTCCAGCTGCCCAGGCCTGGATGGCCAGCTGGAGCAAGCAGGCCTGGAGGACATAGCCAAGGTGGCAGGAGCCCGTCTCCCTAAGAGACAGCCTGGTGTCTTAGGGAGCCCCATGGGCAGGGGCTGAGCCCCAAGGAGCTAGGCTGACTCCTGTGCTTCCCTGCCCTCATTCCTGAGCTTGCCACCACGCCTGCAGAGATCTCCAGGAGACAGGGTAAACGGGTGACAGGTGGGGGAGCAGTTCAGCAGGACTGGGCCTCAGAATGGGGACCCAGGCTGGAGTTGCTCGGGTTGGTGGTGTCCCCGGCTTGCTCTCCCACAGCAGCCAGGTGGTGGAGTGAGGGTGTGATAAGCAGACAAGTGTCCCAGAGTGAGGGGTTGGGGTGCAGGTGACACACCTCTTGGAGCTGAGCCTCTTTTACTTCAGACATGTAAGAGGCCCAGTGACAGGAGCCTGTAGGGCAGTGGCTGGCAGGGGAAGTGGTCAGTGGTTCCCGCGCCTGGCCCTTATCTGGGATGGACATCCCCTTCAGTCCCTCTGTACCACCACACCCCCCACCTGTGTGCTTTCCAGCTTTCCTGGGCACACACAGCAGTTGGGCCTGGGGAGAGCCCGGTGCCTAGTCACACCCTGGAGTTCTACTCTCTGCCCAAAGCCGCGCCTGGCCCACAACAACAGTGCATAATCCAAAAGCTGCCTCTTGGAGAGAGACGGGGTGCGGTGGGGGGAGACTTGGTGGAATACTGACATGCTTCCACTGGCATCCAATAGTGATTGCACAGGGTCCTTCCCATTGGTTAGCTCCCCACAGGTGCTGGCTCTTCTCCATCAAGAGATGGGGCCGTCTCCCTGGTTGTCCGAAAGCATCCCAGGTGGTCCCGTAGCCGGTTGGCCGGTCAGTCGCATTCCTGGGCTGTAGGCCACCTCGCTCCGCTCCGTCGTCCTCCTTCCACCTCGCCCCCCATCCCTCACGGCGGGGTCCCGGGCCGCACTTGGACCTTCCTGACCCGCTGTTAGGGGCAGCAGCAGTGGGCGCAGCAGTAGCTGCAGGCAACCAGCAGCAGCAGCAGGACAGT